GAGATTGTTCCTCCTTCTCCAGCAGAGCATCTGTTGGATTCAAACTGTGCACCTCTAGGATTGCAGAAGACCATACACTTTAAAAGATTTATTTTCTTTTATTCCATTGACTTAAAACTAAGTCAGGCTATAAATAGCAACCTTGAAGGCTAATAAAATGAATTTTGTCTCCCCAAAATATGTGTGAACTGGTAGAGGACAGGATTATTACTATTGTGTAATCAACCTCCATTTTGTGATCTAATATAATCTTCCTTTGATTGTAAATTTTAATCTCTCTAAAGTTAAAGAAGGCAGAATGACATAGCTATGTTAATGGGGTAGAATACAATCTACAGATTAAGTTAAATCTTGGGTTAATTTCTTTTGAGATACAAAAGAGATTAAGCAAATGAGCAGAGATCAGAGAGGCCATTCCTAACACCAACAGAGTCAGGAGCACAGCCGTTGTCCTTTGCACCTAGGACCTCAACCCTAAGAACCTCCTACCTTCAGGGGAAAACTGAGGCTGGGGCTCATGTAGGGTCACCATGGAAAGCAGACCCACAGATGCTAAAAGGAGACCAGGGCCTTTCCCTCAAGCCATAGAACAAGAAACCCTCGTAGAGCTGACGGAAATAAAAATTGACCTGTAACCTCCTACACTGTGAAAGAATAAACATCTGCTCATTAAATCCATCCATTTGTGGTATTTATGTTACTCAAGTCTCAAGTCATCACCATCGAGTCAGAACGGACACACAGCTGACCCTCCAGAAGGTTTCCAGAGGCTCTAAATCGTACTCAACCTTCTCCAAGAACAGCTAGTGAAGTGCCACCAGCACATCTCTATGGACGATGTCATCATTCTCTCTTATTTCTGTTACAGCTGCACTTATAACTAATGTAAGGTCAAAGTATTTTCTGTGAATCAGGAACTATTCTGTTTTACACATATATTAAGTCATAAAACAAAAAAATTATCTAGTTAAAGACCTGAAGTAATCTTATTTATCTAAACCTTAAAAATAAGAATCTCCAAATCTTTCAGTGACTTAAGTGTGACCAGTGATGAAAAAACAGCTATAAGATCAGATGATACTCTGATAACTAGCAAACGCAGCAGACTATGTGAAGAAGTAGTTGGGCCAGGGCACCAGGAACATCATCACTGAGTGTCAGCAGAATAAATTATTAAAGACCACTGAAGGTTTCCTATATGTATGGTTTAACATTAAGTTAGCACTAAGCTTAAATTCCTTATTTGAATATTAAGGAATATTTTATTGTCATACTGAAGTAACTGGAAGAATTTTTTTTAATGGAACACATTAAATGTGAAATGAGGTTACATTTTTAAAATGGCTTCTTTAGCAAATTTTAAAGGATCGAATATTCATAGTTCTCCAAAGTGATTTTGTAACTTTAAAATTTTACGTTAGAACCACAAAATATTATACGTTGAACTTTGAAAGTAAGGAAGAATTTGGTTTTTAAATTTTGTAATTTCAAAGTAACTTTAACTTCAACAAAGTAAACTTTTGAGCAGTTTCCCCCACACAAACATCCATATATCCACATACTTAACAAATGACAGAAGTTCTCTAATATTGTTATAAACAAGTTTTTCCATTAGCATGCTGCTTCATCATATAAACTCTTAACGGTCTGAGGCTATTGCTCTTATTGATATTATGGCTTTCACTGTGTTGTTATTAAAACATTTCACTGCCATCAAGTCAGAATCAACCCATAACTGGCTGTCCATTAGATTTCCAAGGCTATAAATAGTATGGGTGGAGACTGGCCATGTTTTCTTCTCAGAGGCACTGGAATTTGAACAGCCGGAGTGGCTCTGTCTCAGGGTTATGAACGCAGCTCTAGTATGCTCCCAGAACGCCCCTATTCAAGCACCGTTACGTTATGTACACTGTTATGTACGCTGACCCTCCAGTAGGTTTTCAGAGGCAATATAATGGCACAGGAGCAGATTTCCCATCTTTCTCCCATAGAGTACCTGGAAGATTTGAACTGTGTACCTTCAGGTTAGTAGTAGTACTAACTACTAGGTCAGTACATTCCCTAAGTTCACTAGGCTTTCTAAATGCCCATCTTGCTTAGATTTAAAGAAATATTGCACTATCAATATGAAAACCAAAGTAGCTTTTGTATAACTCAAGATTTTGACTAATTTTAATTCATTTTAATGGTTTTTAAACAATATTCATTACTTTTAGATTAGAAATTAGTCTCAAAATCTTTAAAAAAACTTAAAAGATAATCATTATGTTTTAACAGTAGCAACATAGAGACACTGCACTTACTTATATCCCCATGCTGTTATTCCTAATATGAGAGCCAGCACTAAAATGGTGCCAGCAATTATACCAATTATGATATTGGTACCAGCAACACCTGGGGAAGAAAGAGAATAGTGAAAGACAGTGTCTATAATTGACATTTTGATATGCAAGTCTTTCAGGAACTTTTTTCTGTATATTTTAAACTACCACATTAACAATGATTTTTTTTTTATAAAGTGGGATTTAAGGAGAAAAAACAACTATAACAGCATTCCATGTCATTTTTTTTTTAAGTTTCTTTTGTACGTTACTTTTAGAATTATTGTCCAAGTGCATTTTCAAACCATTTTATTTCCCACAAAGTTTCTCGGACGTCATCAACCAAAAAGAAAGAAGGTTAAGGACAGTAGGAAAAATGAGATTCAATATCCCAGTATTTCCATTATGGTCTCTGAGGAGAAAACTTTAGAAATCAATGGTTCCTGTGACTCTGACTCTTTTCTTGTTTAAATAAGTCCATTTTAGTAACGAATGCATGATCTTGCTGAGAGAGAGAGAACAGAGAGAAAAGGATTTTTGTCTCTCGAATAAGAATACTCTTAAAAGAGAAAACATGAGTACAGATACACACCATCAGCACTCAGGTGGTACACATAGCATAGAACTGGGCTTGTAATTTTGTAATGGATTTATGGCACATATTAAATGCAGGTTTTTTTACACAAATTGACTCAATTCTCTCCTTGTCTGCTCCACATCCAAGACAACCTTCTGACCATCAAAGACCAATAACCAGAGGTGATTGTAGCCAGTTCAAAAGCAGACCTCTCTGCCTGGGAATCATGTTGGATGGCAGGCTCAGTCATCTGAGCACACAGCTGACTTTGACCTGCCAGGTCCTCTAAGAGACAGCTGTCCTTAAATCCCCTAAGGCTACTGGACCACCTGGGTCGCTAGGATTTCTTATTCCCACACCTACCACATCTGTTCGTTTTCTTTCAGGAGTGAAGATGGATCAATAAACTTGGATGCCAGTCTTCATTATTTCTAAGCAATGATATAACCTCTGACAAGGCATTTATCTCGATGGATCTAAATTGATCTGCCAACCCAAAGGGAAGCAACTCAAATATGCCGGCTGCTCCAAGAGAGAAAAATGGGTCATCTCCTTTCGTGTGATTTACAGCCTCAGAAAACCTGCTGAAGGGTCAGCTGTAAGTCAGTTCTGACTCACTGGACAAAACAACAAAATTTCTGGATTAACTGTTCAAATCAGTGGCACACGAGCACTGTTAAGGATGTGTACTCCAAAATCTTAGTCATCCTGTGAACTTCTTTCTTAAAGTCATATTGACTCAATTTTTTTTTTCCGTTGAGTCATCAGAACACATATATACCTCGTTTTTCATCCTTTAGCTAAGAATGCTTTTCAGGATTTGAACATTATATAATGTAAATACTGGCTAATAAAACAATAAAATGTTCAAAAAAGTACATTTACTTCTAAGATATGAATTATTTGAACTATGCACATTTAAGTTCTACTTTTTTCATTTTGGCTACCTTAATTTTCAGAACTATACTTGTCATTTCTTATCCATGTCCTTAAATCCTTTCCAGGTACCTTGGTTAATATTACAATTTCCAGAACCACCTAGAGTTCAAGCTACAGAACTAAGTTGGACATGGAGGATGATATATACAATAAAAAATATTTTAAAATTAATTTATTTGTTTATATTCTTATTTACTTAGGCCCTTACATTTAAAACTCTTTCTTCAGAATCACATTTTCTTCACTGAAGAAATTAAAATTTCTTTTTTGATAAACAAGAGTGTATTTTAGATCCCTAAACAAGGACTCAGATTTGAAAAGTCTAGGCCAAGTTTACTCCCTACTGCTGTTGAGCCTATCCTGACTAACAACAACCCTAGAAGACAGAGTATGCCTGTCTCAGGGGTTTCTGTAGCTCTAACTTTTTATGTAAATAGTCGTTCTCCTCTCTTTCTCTCCTGCGGCTCATGGACTCAAACTGGTGACCTTCAGCTTAGCAACTCAAAGCTTATCCCATTCTGCTACCAGGGCTCTATTCCAAACCCAAAGCACTGCTGTCACGTCAATTCCACTTCACAGCAACCGGGTTTTGAAGGTTGTAAATCTTTATGAGAAGACACTGCCTCGTCTTTCTCTCTTGCATTGGCTGGTGGATCCAAATTGCCAACTTTTGAGTTAGCATCCAATACATAATGCCATACTTTCAGCCAAAATAATCGCATACAATGTTTATCAAACATATAAATTAACAGAAATGATATTGTTTGCTCCTATTGTACATTCGAATTCATTATGATATTAATTTTTTATGATGGGCATTTATCATCTATCTCATGGAGTTGTAATCGAAAGAATTCAAATGAGAATGTCTGATGGCAGTTTTTTCTTCCTCAGATATGATGATTAAGCAACAATACCAAATTAAGTACCTACCATTGCCAGACAGAGTTATGCCAGTCTTTGTGTTATCATTGTATGGGAAGTAAGTGTTGCAGTCTGCACCAATCCAGTGTCTGTTACAAACACACTTCAATTCATTACTGCACACCTGAAACCCAGAAATAAATCTACAGTAGTTTCAACTCTCCAGTACAGGGGCAGTGAGAAAAAAGAAACATCAAATTCTAATTAATATATACTTTGAATCTGATCACATGGAATAAAATACTGGTATCTTCTAAGAATAGTTCTTCTATTTCTCCAAAATATAAGAGATATATTTTAAAGGCAAATGGGTGATTCAAAAGAACAATGATTATTTTTAACACAGGAATGAATCTTTATATATTTTTTAAAAAATCAATGTTATTAGTAATGTTTAGGTTTTATTCAAGATTAAAGGTATACCTGTTTCTGCGATATAGCAGGAATGAATACTGCCCTGGGAGCCGATACTAAATACTTACTCCATTTCCGGAACAAATAGTGTCTTCTTTACTGGTCAAGCAGGTACTGAAGTTGAAGGAAGACACAGGAAGACACCTGTGTTCCAAGCACATCATTTTGGGACCACAAGGTGTACCATCCTCCACATAGCCAAGATCTACATCTTCCTCCAGTCTAACATGCCCACCACTACAAATAAATTGGGAACAAAAAGATAATAACCATATTTACCTCGAGAAAATGTTTAAAGACTAAAAAGTGGACAACAGTATTCCTTATTTTTTATTTATGTAATAAGAACCAGTAGCATAAGCTATTTTTGTTCCTTTTTTGCTATTCATATGCATAACATTAAATAATGTGCTTATATTACTGTTTCTCAATATTTTTTTTTCATTTCAGGAATTATCAACCGACTCTCCCAAATGGAATTTGAAATGCCACTCAATTTCTCCTTCTCCCTATTTTTGCATCATAATTTTAATCTAACTGATAACTAAACTGTAGTCAGTTGAGCAACAGAGTAGATAAAATTAAAATCATTATTTTCCTTAAACTTTTGTTTCCCTCCAGATTAAAAAGATTTGTGTTGTTCCTTTGATTACTTTTTTACAAAATTATAAAGAATTCAAAACTTATTCAAACTGTGACAGCTGTCCAAGTTATCACTTCAGGCTGTCTGCACATCTTGATGTTTACCATCCTGGAGAACTCTCTCTCGGAATCTGACCTGCTCCAATCTGGACTGGTTATTCCATGTCCCAGGAGTGGATCTGCAAATCTTGGCATTTTCCTCACCATCAACAATTTGAGGACTATGGTAGCTTTTCTGTGGTTACTGTCTTATACCTTTCACTCCCTATTTTTTTCTTTCTTGGGTTACCCCTTCATTTAGTTGGAGTACATCTTCCTTGGATGCATCCTGCAAAGTGTCTAAGGGAGGGAAACATGGAAGAAATCTGCATATCTAAATATGCCTTCCTTTCTCCACCTTCACACATGGTTGATAATACGTCTAAGCACAGAATTCCAGATTGGAAATCATTTTCTCCATTGTCTTCCAGTTCCCAGGACTCTTTTTAGGGTAGATTCTTCCCTTTCCTAATTTCTGATCCATTGGTTTTCATCTTCTTTCTGAAAGCATGGGGATTTTCTTTGTCCTAAGAATCAAAAATTTCATAATGATATGTTTAGATGTGACTTGAATGTCACTTATTTGCTTGATCATTGTTGCTGTTAGGTGTTAAGTCAAGTATGACCCATAGTGATCCTACAAACCATAGAACTAGACCCTGTCCTATCCTGTGCCATCCTCAAACTTCCTGACACATGAGGGCCCACTGCAGCAGTCACTGTGTGATTCCACCTGGTCGAGATTCTTACTCTGCTTTGCCGACCCTCTACCTTTGCAAACATCACGTCCCTCTCCAAGGAAGAGTCCCTCCTAGCAACGTGCCCGAAGAATGAGAGGCAAACCCTGGCCTCCAAAGAGCACTCCGGCTGCACCTTCTCCAAGACATATTTGTTTATTTGTTAGTCCACAGGATATTCAGTCCTTTTCTCCAACACCACAGCTCAAAACTATCAATTCTTCTTCTGTCATGCTTTTCATTGACCCTTAGGTTAGCCTACTAATTAAGTTATTAATTTAAATTAAGTTATTAATTTCTAGACAATACTTGAGTTACTCCTAGTCATTGCTAATTTCTGTCTGTTTTTTATTTACCAAGCTTTTCTCTACATTCTGTACTTTTGCCTTTTCTCTCTCCTTTCTGGAAGATTAATTTCAGTTACCAAGATTTATCTATGACATAAATGTTTAATTTCCAGTAGTATATTTTGAATGGACTTCATTTTTAAAATAGCAACCTGTTCTAATTTCGAGACAGAAATAAGTCTCTTAAAATAAGATTGATAGTTTGGCTCTTTTCCTCTCCCAGGTTCTTTGCTTTCGTATTTTTTTTATAAACAATTTTTTTAAATGTTATTATTTTTGTGTGAGTGTACCGTCAAATCAGATCTGACTGGTACAGGAGGAGATTGTCCTTCCTTCGCCGGCAGAGCATCTGGTGGATTCGAACCGTGCGCCTCTGGGATTGTAGTTGCAGCTCCTTGCCACTAGGCCACGCTTTTGTATTTTTTTCATGTTAAGAGACTTTTCTTGCATGTATACATTTTTATATTTTGCTCATATTTGGTGTGGAAGACTAGAAAGTCAGTGATGAACTTCAATGAGGCTGGACCACTTCCATATACGCGTGTCAGTGTCGCCTGCTGTTCTTCAACTTAGAAATCTTACCTTTTGTCCTCCGCAGTTCTATAAAGTTCAAGTCTTCCATGAGACAATAGGCAGCCTCCAGCTTAAATGAGTCAAGAAAGAAATCCGTGCATCTGAATGTTTCTTTAACAAGTTCTTACCGATCATCTTTATTCCAGCACTTCATACTCTCTCCTCCAGAGGTAGATGATGATGGTAATGTCTGAGTCTTTTATGGAACTGACAGTAGAGACTGTGTTGGCTAGCATCTTTGCTGACTGGTATCTTAAGTGCCACTGAGCCAACTCTGACTTGTAATAACCCGATGAACAACAGATTTGATCCTGGCCCTATCCTGTGCTATCCTCGTCATTTCTAATACATACTTCAGTCCATTGTTACCAACATTGTGTCAATGCATCTTGTTAAGGGTCTTCTTCTCCTTTGAACATTGTCCTTTACCAGCATGATCTGACTGGCGCATCCTAACAACATGCCTGAAGGATGTGAGACAACATTTCATCATTCTTGCTTCTAACGAGCACCCAAGTTGCATGTTTTCCAAGATAGACTTTGTTTGTTCTTTGGAAGCCCTTGGGATTTGCCCATTCATATACTTGCTTTGTTTTTGTTGCTATGATCTCCTCATTCTGTTTACCTCTGAATGTATTCATTCTTTAAAAAGACCCACTTAGTACCATTTTTATCTTTTTAAATTTTTTTTAAGAAGTGGGGTATTAGAAGGCAGCAAAAATACATTGTGTAGTTTGTGGGTTTTTTGTGGGTTTTTAGATGCATAGTTTTAATCTACTGCTTTTATTAAAAGATCTCCATCTTTCTTAATAAGAATAAAATAAAAACTAAATCTTATACTATTTTACTAATCAAATCAAAATACAACCATGTAAAATCTCATGTCAATAAATTCTTATTTTTCTTCATCTCTTTTCCATTGGGAACTACTCAGTTACTTCTATGAATCAGATTTTATTTCAGCTTACTAAAATGCACATGCAATGAAAACATCAGTAGTTTCAAACTGTGTTCCTTAGAAATGAGATGACAAATGTTCTCATAGAATGGCACAGGTAATTACCTGCAGTTTAATGTTCTTCCCTGCTGTACAACTAAAGTACTTGTGATTTCACCATCGAGTTCTCCAAGCCTTGGGATATTACCCACATTTGTACATAAAAGGTAACCACAAAGCACATCCCTGTGTTAAAAAAAAAGTACCAATTATGTATCTACAAAGACACAGTAATCATTTAGTAAGAAACAATAATCTTATCTCAAATTGACATTTGTTTTTTCACTCAGCTAAACAATTTTCTTATATGCCAAGCAAAATAAAATAAACCCAGATTAATGTGCCTCCTACTTTGAAAAGTGTTTTCTCTGAGGAAGCGCTTATTAAAAAAATACCAAACACACACACACACACACACACACACACACACACACACACACTCTCAAAACCCAAACAACATGACAACAAAACAAAAAGTTCAAGCTCATTGTCCTCAAGTTGGAACCAGCTCAGAGGTGCCCCTCCAGCAGGTTTTCAGAGGTAGTAAATCACACAGGAGGAAACTGCCCATCTTTCTCTCATGGAGCTGATGGTGGATAAAAGCATGTGCCTTTGGTTAGCAGCACGACACCTTCTCCCTATTCCACAAACCAGATCAAAATCTCAATTGCTTCCTACATCTGCCTTTACTGGTCATTAGAACAAATATTAATCTAAAAAGAAAACAGTCCATCAATGTTCTAATGAAAATGTAGTCCACTACGAAAAAAAAAAAATTCCTTCAAACTTAACTGCTGTTGAGTCAGAACAAACTTATAAAAGACCCTAGAGAGGGTTTTGAAGCCTGCAAATCCCATGAAAGGAAACTGCCTTTTCTCTCTCCAGTGGAGCCAGTGGTGGATTTGAGCCTCCAGAAAGGTGCAGCATTTGGCTTAGCATACAACTCACAACAGACTACGTCTTCAGGGCTTCTTATTAATGGGGGAGAGAGCCAAATACAAAAAGTCCAATTTTCCTCATAGTCCATCATTCTAAGCGCTAATTTTTCAAAACTATTTGCTAAGTGAATGAAGGACCTTTGCACATATACATTTTTTAGGAATTCAGATCTTTCCTTGATCCATTAAACAGGAATCAAAGAAGAGGTCATGTGTAGCATATATTTCATATAGTCCCAATAGAATTTTATCACCCTTTCCTTAGAATATTTCACTAAGGCCTCTACCATCAATATACTTCTAATTTAACTTATATTTCCAATGGTAATATACACTATTTTGTATATTCTTTATGTCCAATATATTTTCATTATTAAAAGAGTTAACAGCAAGTATCTTAATAAGTTTATTGTGAAGACCGTTTAGTAGACCTGCAAGACTATATATAGATTTGTAAGACTATTAGATGGCTAAAAGAAAAATTAGAATCTATAAATCATTAATATAGAAAAATGGGTATTACCTCACCCTTTATTAAGGGTGCATTTTGCTGCACCTAATATTAACAAAAATATTTTCCCAACACAAAAGAGTTAATTATTTAACATTTTTTAAGTATTATTTATGTACATAGACCTTACTTAGTACTTTAGGTTATATAAAGGAAGTCAAACATGACCTTTACCCTCAGGGAAATGATATTTTAGATAAGAAGATAAATACACATATACAGAACTATAAAACAGAGTTGGAACAAAGGCCACAGAAATAGTACAAAGTGCTGTAAGTTTAGCAGAGACGAGAGAGAATATTTTTTTCTACAATAAATCATGAAAGACTGGAAGAGAAAGTGTTTCTAATTTGCATTTCAAAGGATAGAGGAAATTTTGACTAGTAGTGGTATGGATAAAAGAGTGTTGTTGTTGTTGTTGTTAAGTGCCATCAAGTCGTAGCTGACTCATAGAGACCCTACGGACTAAAGACCTGAACGCTTGTATAACTTTCATCATTTCTCCATGTTCATAGAGTTTCCGGAGGCAGAGGTAGTACAAATACTGTTGTTGTTATTGTTTGATGCCGTTGAGTCGTAGACGACTCATAGCAACCCTATGAACGAACAGCCTGAGCACTGTTCGTACACAGAGTTTCCGGAGGCAAGCCATTTCAGAAGTGGATGCCGCTCCTGCTTCCAGAAAGAAATATAGGCATATATAAATATAGAGCAGGGTGTACAACATAGATGTTAGGAATGGTAAGGCTTTCTAGAATTTTGAATTGAGAAGCAAAGACCAAAAAAGTAGAACAGGGGCAAACTAGTTGAAGTTCAATGCTAAGGTTCCATTTTATTTGTTAAATAGGGTGGTCAGACATACAGCCAAACAGTTAAAGAGAGAGTGAATCAGACTTCCAAAGTTCCAAATCTGCTTTTACTACATGTCAGCTCTATGATTTGGGGCAGGTTAATTAACTAGCCTCAGTTTTCTCCTCTATAAGTTTGTAAGAACTGCCATAAAAATTAAATGGCCTGACCTGGGCTTTAAGAGAGGAGTCAGAGCACTTGTCAAAATTAATGCTGGTTATCACAGGGGAGATAAGGTGAGCACACAAGCGTATGCTTTGCGTGATGTGAAAACAGCAAAAACTTGTTCACTCAAAACATAACATTTGTCACTGTTTGAAAGATGAACTCGGGCCTGTGCCCCCTCACCGCTTGTTGCACTGTATCCAGGTGTCTTTGTCTCTGCCACAGTTGCCCTTCTCAGTCCCTTCAATATTCAGTTTCTCATAGCAGTACTTGTCCGACGCAGTCACTTCTGAAGCAGAATAAAGCGTTCTGTCAGTGAGGGAGGTAAAATGCAAGCTGCTAAATTTCTTTCTTTTTTTCTTTTTTTTTTTTTTACAATAAAAGATAACTACAACTTAAGTTCTTCCCTTTTCACTTTAAGTGTTAGAAATGTCAAAATAGTGTAACTCTAGACCATAAGGGTCTTTGTTTTACCATAGATAGTCAAGACACAGATATATTTTGTCATGAATTTTCATTTGAAATTTGGGAAATCTATATACAGAAGAACTTCATGAAACAATGTATGAGCAAGAGCCTGTGTCGATGAAGGAAAAAGTTCAAGCTGCTCTGAAAGAATCCGCAAAATACAAGGCCCCAGGAATAGATGGCATACCAAATAACATATTTCAACAAACAGACTCTGCCCTGGATGTGCTCACCAAGCTGTGCCCAGAAATCTGGAAGACAACCAGCTGGCCAACTGACTAGAAGAGATCTCTATTTGTCTCCATTCCAAAAAAAGGTGACCCAACAGAGTGCAGAAATTATTGAACAATATCATTAATATCACATTTAGGCAAGATTCTGCTGAAGATTATCCAAAAATGACTGAAACAGCCTATCAACAGAGAACTGCCAAAGTGGAGGCTGGGTTTAGAAGAGGCTGTGGTACTAGGGATATTATAGCTAATGTTAGATGGATCTTGGCTGAAAGCAGGGAATGCTAAAGGAATGTCTATCTGCGTTTCATTGATTATGCAAAGGCATTTAACTGTGCGGATCATAACAAACTGGCTAACTCTGAGAAGAATGGGGATCCCAGGATGCTTGATTGTGCTTATGCAAAATCTATACTTGTACAGGAGGCAGTCATCAGAACAGAGCAGGGAAACACTGCATGGTTCAAAATTGGGAAGTGTGTGCACCAGGAATGTGTCCTATCTCCACACCTTTTCAACCTGCATGCAGAACAGATTATCTGGGAGGCTGGGCTCTATGAGGAGAAATGTGGCATCAGGATTGGAGGAAGACTCATCAATAATCTGCATTATGCAGATGACACAATCTTGCTTGCTAAAACTGAGGAGGACCTAAAGTACTTGCTGCAGAAGGTCAAGGACTACAGCCTTCAATATGGGCTGAAGCTCAACATCAAGAAAACAAAGATTCTCACCATGGGGCCAATTGGCAGCATCATAATAGATGGTGAGAAATCAAGATTGTTAACAGCTTTAGTTTGCTTGGCTCCACCATCAATACCTTGATACCAGCAGCCAGGAAATTAAAAGACGAATTGCATTGGCAAAGTCGACTATCAGAGAACTCTCCAAAGTACTGAAGAGCAATGATGTCATTCTGGAGAGTAAGGTGAACCTGATCCAGGCCATAGTATTTGCAATTATTTGCTATGCATCCGAAAGCTGGACAATGGCCAGGGATGACAGAAGGAGAATTAATATTTTTGAACTGTGTTGCTAGAAAAGAGCATTGAATGGACTGCTAAGAGAACAAACAGATTCATCCTAGAGAAGGTGAGACCAGGATGCTCCTTGGAGGCAAGGATTCTAAATCTGCGTCTGACATACTTTGGACATGCTGTTAGGTGGGACCAGTCCTTAGAGAAGGACATCATGCTTGGGAGGGTCAGTGCAAGAGAGAAAGACCCTCAATGAGATGGACTGATTCAGTGATTGGTGTAACGGAGGTAGTGTATCAGAGACAGTGAGATTGGTATAGAGTTGCTATGAATTGCAGGTGACTTGACAGCACATAACAACAATATGTTTAGATCTCTGGAATGATTCAGAATCTAAGCTGCAAGAACAACTCTTCTCAGTCTTTGACCAACATTCAGGGAAGATGCCACCAAATAGTACCTACAAGTGCTCTATGCTTTCACTTCAATGAACTATATAGCGCACTAAATTCTCACTCAGCAGCTTTTGGTAGTCATTAGACAATTGTATTAAAATTGTTACACACTATACTTAAGGCTGCAAAAATGGTGGTATAATATCTACTTTGTTCACCATTTCTTAACAGCTATCAAAACAACTTTATTTTATTCCATTTTCAGAAAAGCTTGAATTCTTGAAAAGCTAAATCTGAGTCAAGTTGCATTTTAGAGTGTGACACATCTCTGTCAGGCTTTCATTTTATCTGAAGTCAGGGTGTGTCTATGGAGTTATATGAAAACCCATAAAAGAATTTTATTACAAATTATTGGTGTATATTAAAAATGTGTGTGGAGTTTCTATGTCTTACTGTCAGCTAATGGTTTTTCTCAATTGAAAGAACCAAAACAAAAAATTATAAGCCTTTGATAAGAGTACAAACTTGTAGGACTAAATTTTTTCCCAATCACATTTCTCTCAAGTTTCTCAAAAGAATGTAGATACTTTCTCTCCTAAAAGGATCATGGCAACTGTATACTATAATTTAGAATTTATTTTTTTTATAATTCATTACTTTTTACCTTCTTTCTGGAATAAACTATCTTCTGAAAGATTACAGAAAAGAAACTGTTTCAGAAGAACTAATGATCCCTTAGGAAAAAATTCAATATACAATATTTAAATAGAAATCTAGAAACATTAATATAAATGTTATATAGTTCTTCTGAAAATATGCAAACTTAGAAGGGGATAACAAAAACATTACTTTTTGGCAGAGCTATCTCAACAGAAGGTTACTTCTAAGTAGGAAAGATGGCTAAAATAAGGAAGATATTCAAAGAGGAAAAAGCAGTTCTCCTTAAAATGGCTATAGTTCTAAGTCAAGGATACCCGGGCCAGGGCACATGTCCATCCCATATGGTTGCACAGGTTTTGCTTAAGGGCTCTCAGCTGAGGGAAGTACAAGTGGAGCTGAAATCCAGGTTTGTTCTTCTCTCCAAGCTGTGTGCCCTGGCGTGGGCTTCATCTGCCTGGCAGCAAAGGCACCTTCTGTTTCATCCAAAGGCACTGTCAACTGGCCAAGGTGTGTGGATCTATGTTCTCTCAAAGGATGTGCCTTACTCTAATTTCCACAAAAGTGTCACTGCTAAGACCTGCATTAGCTTTAAGGCTCTTTCCCATCACAAAATGGTCAAAAACTGACTTCAAATCTATTAAGAGCTTACAAAAGTTTTCCAGAAAAGCTTACTTTAAAATGGCCAAGCCAATACTACACAGCAAGCAGAAGCCAACAATTTGGTAAATCACTACTTACCTTAGGAGGGCCTGGAGATCATTATGCTAAGTGAACTAACTCAGTCCCATAAAGACAAATACTGTATAAAGATCATTATTATAGAACGTGTATGAGGATCAAGGGAGGGAGAGTGGAAGTAGAGGAGTGAGAATGGGCAGGGCAGGGGAGGGGGGAGGTTAATCATAGGGTTGCACAATTTGATGGGTGAAGGGAGGGGTGGGTGAAGGAAATGGGAAAGATCTGGTGTGAAAACAATGTATACGAACACTGTAAGTAAACCAGGATAAAATAGAAATTTTTTGAAATTTTTTTTTAAGCAATGGCCAAGCCACACACTATGTACTTACTTTGCCCCCAGATGTATTTGCACTGTCTGTCCCTCGTTTTACATCTTCCTCCAAAGCAAATTCCCTAAAATGGAAAGGCACATCTGTTACCAATGCAATGTCTACTCACACCAAATGAACAAAGAAATTCTAAGCACTGAAAACAGTAGAAAAGTATTGTTGTTGTTGTTGTTAAGTGCCGCTGAGTCGTAGACGATTCGTAGCGACCCTTTGAACGAAAGACCTGAACACTTTTATAACATTCATCATTTCTCCAAGTTCCTAGAGTTTCCAGAGGCAAGTTATTTCAGAAGTGGATGCCACTCCTGCTTCCAAGCTTGTTTTAATCGGGGAGCACCACCAAACACTGTCTGCCATGGGTAACCATTATCACATCTGACACATCAGTGTCACAGTGTTCAGCATCACAGCAACCACAAGTTACCTCTGTACAACAAATGGACAAGACTTTTATCTTCAGATGTGATTCTTATTTTGGACAGATCTCATTCTTTCTTTCATGCTGGTACACATGAGAACTGTATATAAAAATGGAATAACATTAAAAAAATGGAATAACTTACCTGCACACCATCACATGAGTATCCATCCATTTTATGTATGTTAGGGGCACACTGGAAAAGAGAACAGATCTATGAGCCAAATCTGAGAGGAGACTATCAAGCTAAAATAATCCAGTTAATATTTTCATTACAGAAACAAAGTCAGATGACAGAAATAGCATTTTAAATGCTCTCACAAGGTAAACAAAGAAGGTCAAGAAAATGGAAGAAGAAATACAATTGGTGCATTTTCTCTTGAAAATATGAATTTAACTGAAGCTAAAACAGTTGATGACAGAGCAGCAAAGATAAAAGAACTGACTACATAGACTCAATGTTGACACTAACATCAAAGAATTTTGCTTCATATAGATACACAATTATTCAGGTAATTTTTAAAAAGTAGAAAATCTAAAAATAAGTCATTAACACTGCTGACATCCAAGAGCAACTTTTTTTTTTCATTTCTCCCCAGTTTTGTCCATAGAATTTGAGATGCTAAGCCTACCTAATGATGTTATAAGAAGCTTTGTCTTTTTATTTTTATAATATGAACTATATGTCATAATAAAGATCCATGTATCATTTCTAATGGCTATTAACAGTGCTGAGTAACAAACCACACAGCCACAGTACTAAAACAATCATGAAAAATGTTTCCCAATTTATGCCATTAGAATTCAAGCAAGAGAAGCATCTTTAGTCATACATCACTTTTAAATTTAGTATTGTTTTAAAATTCCTGTTACTGAGTGCATAATCACCTTCTAAGGAAATTGTACAAATACATCGTTGCTGTTACGTACCATCAAGTCAACTGCAACTCATAGCAACCCTATGAACCACAAATACGAACCTGGTACAATCCTGCACCATCATCACAATCTCTGACATGTTTGAGCCCATTATTATAATCCCTGTGTCAATCTGTCCCATTGAGGGTTTTATTCACTATCTCTGGCCCTTCACCATTCCCAGTATGATGTCTTTTTTCCAAGGACTAACTTTTCCTCTAAGAGATAGGCATTTCAATTTCTTATCATCATTAATAAATGTCAGATCACAAAGCATTGCTAATTAGATGTTGTTGTTGTTGTTAAGTGCCATCGAGTCATAGATGGCTCATAGCAACCCTATGAATGCAAGACCTGGACACTTGAATAACTTTCGTCCTTTCTCCAGGTTCATAGGGTTTCCAGAGGCAAGCTATTTTGGAAGTGGATGCCACTCCTGCTTCCAAGTTTGTTTTACTTGGGAAGTTCCACCAGACACTGTCCGCCATTGGTAACAATTCTCGCATTTGACACATCAGTGTCACAGTGTTTAACATCATAGCAACCACAAGCTACGGCTACAGCAAATGTATAGACCAGTGTTATACCAGTTAGAAGAATGTTTGACCAAAAACAGTTAAAACCAGGCCTGAAGGCCGCAGGCCTGAGGGCCCAAATGTGTTTTTAACTAGGAGGCCAATCACTTAATCTCACACCCACTCACTAGTGAGTCAACATTCAACCATAATCCTCACCAGAACCAGCAAAACAAACCTCTGTAGAATCTGGCTGCTGTAGACGGCTTCCAAACTGGATTATAGTTTCCATGAAAGATCTTTCATCTTTTAGGATTATTGTTAAAATAAAGCATTTTTAATGGTTAGAGAAAGATTAAAACCACTGTTGAATTTCCCCTCACTGGAGAAAAAGAACTATAGGCAATCCTGGCTTGGCTTTGTACACACTTCTGATGAGCATTTCAGCTACTAGGATGTTGTCCAATAACAAGCAGTCCTGAAGTAGAGTAATTGATACGTCTTCAGGACAAAAATCACTATGTAAATAACAGACACACATCATGATCAATGATCTATCAATATCATTTCTTTCAGAGGTGGTTGATCACTGCCAATCTGTTCCTTCTCAGACACAAACTGGGTGGTTGTGTTATCTCTTTATCTCCTGGCGGTAGTCATTTGATAGTTTATAAAGATGGATAATGAAAACTGGGAATTGTCCAACAAGAATAAAAATGAACAAAAACAAATACAAAAGGAAAAGTAACTAGGTTGTTACTGTAATTGTTGTTGTGCACCATTGAGTCAAAACCCACCCATAGGTGACTCTCCAGTGAGTTTTCAGAGGCAGTTTAATTGCATGGGAGGAGATCTCTCATCTTTTCTCCCACAGAGCAGCTGGTAGATTTGAACTAGGTGCCTTGAGGATTGCAGTGCAGCTCCCTACCATGAGGCTACCAGAGCAATGTTACTAGCAATGAATTTAAATGGGAGGTAAGTGGAGTTATAGAATAAATAGCTGAGTACTACTGCTCTAAGGATACTACACATAGAGTCAGAGAAACTCAGTGGGAGACTATTTTTTTTTCTTTCTTTTTTTTTTTCTATAATTATACTTTATTAATTTTCATAAACATTTACAGAGATTTTGGGCTTCCACTCATTCATTGTTGCACTATTCTCTCTACCCTCCTCCCAGTTTGTTCTGGGAGACAATTTATTGACACAAAGAACGTGGTTGTGATGAAAAGAAGAAAAATGTTCCAGATGCGCATTCTCAAAAAGTTGCAAATAGAGATACCATTTGACCCAGCAATTCCACTAAGAGGAATATACCCCAAAGAGACCATAAATAACATCCAAGCAGATATATGCACACCCATGTTTATTGTGGCTTTGTTCACAATAGCAAGGAGTTGGAAACAACCTAAGTGCCCATCAACAATCGAATGGATAGAGAAGCTGTGGTATATTCACGCAATGGAATACTACACTGCTTTGAAAAACAAGGAATTCATGCAATATTATTCAAAATGGGAGACCCTGGAGGACATTATGCTGAGTGAAATATCTCAGTCACAAAGGGACAAATATTATATGGTGCTACTGTTGTAGAATGAGGCTGACATTGGGATGGGGGTAAGACTGAGAAAAACTGGGTAAATTATGTTTACTGCATTGAAGCCGATAAGGGAGAGAATAGTTTAAAATTAATATATTTTAGGGCATTATGATTATCATAAGAGTCCGGAATGAGGGTTTCAGAGTGGAGTATACTTGGGGTGGGAGTGGGGAGGTGTGGGGGTGGGGGGGGATTGTGTACCAATGAAGGAGTTTTTCTTTTGCTTTTCAAGGAGAGGAGTGAACTGGGGGTGGGGGTGGGGGTGAGTGGGTGGGGAGAAAAGTGCAACAATGAATGAATTCCAAAATCTCTGTAGATGTTCATTGAAATGAAAAATAAATAAATTATAAAATGAAAAAAAATGTTCCAGATGATGTGACACTGGGGAGAGCAGGGCATTGTCTTAAAAGAACCTTCATAGATAGTTCACAACATGGAAAAACAAGAACAAAATTTTGGAAGGTGATCTAACCTTTAAAACTCACTCTTTCATTCATTGCTGTGAGTTGGTGTCAACTCATGGAGACCTTCCATTGAGCTTTCAAGTGGCAAATCTCAATGGGAGGAAACTGTCCATCTTCTCCTGAGGAACTGCTGGTGGACTGGAACTAGCAGAGAGGTACCATCTTTGGGTTACCAGCACAACTCCCTAAACTACGCTATCGGACCTTCTAAAGTTTTGAAAAGAGCATGACAGTTCACCAACGCATAGAAATGAGGCTGGCTCTCTAGCTTAGGCTAAACAGGCAGACGGTGACAAGCAAGTTTCTAAATACTGTGTTGGAAATCCCCAAATGGGGATACTTCTATTCTGTCTGATAGGATCATTGAACTGGAATCAAATCGAAAACTATGGGTATTTTAAAACAATTATTTTAGCAATTACCTGGCTTGAATTTCCTGAGCACGTTTCATGAATATCACAATCATTCACTGCTTCTCGGCACACAGTCCCCATAGGCTGAAACTAAAAGGAACAAGAATTAACGTGGAAAACTGTACAACGGTGACGGCAGATTTGGGAGTTAGTTATCACAATTTCCTCTAAGTAAACATCTCAAACCATCTGTTTGGGTTTTTGTTTTAATATCTCAAACTATCTTAAAATGGTAGTTTGTAAAAACCATAGTAACTGAGTGAAAACGCAAATTTAATAGGTTTAAGAGCAAGTAGCTTGTGTGTGAAGTAATTTACATATTCATCACATATAAACATTATGATGTCCTCCTAAAAAACAGAATAGTGCTTGATGAAATCTCCATTTGAGCAGCAAGTTGTGCAAATTCAAGTAATTCCTTATTCCAAATAACTCTTGGATTTATACTTTACATTTTGTTCTTCTTGCTACCTTTATCATATAGTTGTTGTTGTTGGACGTAGCCCATAGCTGACCCTTCAGCAAGTTTTCAGAAACAGTAAATCACATGACAGGAGATTGTCCATCCTACTGCCATGGAGAAGCTGGTAGATCCAAACCTTGTGTCTTTGGGATTGCAGCACAGTTTCTTACCACTAGGCCAACAGATTCCTTTTTTTCTCTGCCAAGGAAGACTAACATTTTGGCCTAAACGGCACAAGTTAGAATTTTCCAGCACGACTACCTCTCCTATTCTCCCCACTTCCTTTATGCTAATTTTACATAGTTCTCAATCTTTTTTTCAAATTCTATTCTGATGTTACTATTATTTTTGTCTGTTTGCTGGTTTTTTTATACACTTACAGTTACAACAAAACACAATAGGGTAAGAAAGAGCTAATTTATTATCCTCCTCCTGCCCCATTTTAATCACAACACCCTGCTTCCCCCAAAACAAATGTTACTATTCTGGCTGGGCCCTATATTTTTCTTTGGTCTATGAACATATACAATCTCTGGCCTTCCTCCTTCCTACATAACTTCATTTTGTTTTTCTTCCCCTTGCTTACAAACCCTCCAGGCATTCAAGTCTCCTGCTGTTCTCATAACAAGCACAGCAAACTGTCAACTACCATCAGGATTTTAGATGATATATTTCAGAGGATGTGAACAAAATTTGTTTATTCATTCATTTATTCATCAAGTATTTCCAGGACACTTAGAATGTTCCAGGCACTATCCCAGACACTGTGAACTCTGATGATAACAGGACACACAAACTCTTCTTGTGTCCAGAATGTAGGCTGCATAGCAGAGTGCATGTGGGGGAGGGATTATATAACAATGAAAGACTTTTACTGTTCAAAGAGAAGAGCGAATGAGAGGGAGGGGTGGGGAGGGAGGAAAATGCAATAATGAATGAATGGGAAAAAATGTATCAATTATATTATGAAAAACCAATATGCTTTGGGAAACATTAACTCAAATAATAATAAAAAGTCTTTAAAGAAAAAAGAACTCTGCTTGTGAGAAGAAATTTTTGTGCAGCTAAGTAGCCATACAAATAAATAAATACTCAAGACAATTTAACTTTACATGCTCTGATTCTCTTTTGGATGTGTGCTGTCCCTCCACTCTTCCAAGCCTGGTGTCTTTTTCCAAGGACTGGTCCCTCCTGGCAACATGCCCAAAGTATGTGAGATGGAGCCTCAAAATTCTTGCAGCCAAGGAGCAGCTTGGTTTCACCTTCAAGATATGTTACTTCTCTTGGCAGTTCAGTCCAGCACCACCACTCAAAGGCATCAATTCTTCTTCTGTCATGTCTAGTCACTGGATGCAAAGTAAGTAATTGCAAAGACCATGGCCTGGACCAGGTACACCTTAGCCTTTAGATTGGCATCTTGCTCTTCAGCACTCTGGAGAGACTCCTGACAGCAGATTTTCCCCAGTGCAATTTTCTTTTGATTTCTTGGCTACTGGTTCCAAGAGTGTTGGCTGTGGAATCTAGCAAGCTAAATCTCTTCTCCATATATCATGGTCTGCTAATTGGCCCAATGGTGAAAAACTTTGTTTTCTTGATGTTGAATTTCAATCCATATTCAAGACTGTAGTTCGTGACCTTCTGCAGCAAATGCTTCAGGTCCTCCTCAGTTTCCGTAAGCAAGGTTGTGACATCTGCATAATGCAGGTTGTTGATGAATCTTCCTCCAATCCTTATGCCACATTCCCCCTCATAAAGTCTAGCCTCCCAAATAATCTGTTTCACATACAGATTGAAAAGATAAAAAAATGGATACAGAGGATTTTGCATCTTCAGCCCCATTCACTATGCTACCTTTGAGTCACTGAAGAGCCCAAAGTACAAGTGGAGCAGGAACTGAAAGGAGAGGGGAAAAGAACAAATAAGGCCTTACTTTATTGGTATAGCTGTAATTTATTTTGTAAACTATGTGGTATCAGGATTGCAGGAAGAGATGACACAACCTTGCTTGCTGGCGGGAACTCTCTGGTGCAATGTACAGTCTCTGAAAACCCACTGGAGGGCCAGTTGCGATCTAGTTCCTACTCTAGGACTATGGGTTTGAGTTTTTGAGCTTTATAGATGGGGAGACTAAAGTACGGGTGCGGGGTAAGATGAACACTTCCCTATCACTTGTTATGGCATATGGAGAAGCCAACAGAATAAACAGCTGAGGGAGCCAAAATGAAAGCATGTCTGCTCAACGTTAGTTCCACCTTCCTTTTTTCGAGCGTGCTTTCAGAGATTCCTGCTAGAGACTTACTTGTCTTCTGCGGCATTGCCAGGAGACATAGCGGTGGAGTGGAAACAAGACAAACCACTGCCAGGAGATCTGGGATGGGATTCCACATTTCCTCCTTGCTCACTGAGTGAGCCTGCACAGGTCATTAACTACTTGAGGCCAGCTTGCTCAACTGGAAAACTCCAATAATTAAGCTTATCCCAGAGGTGTAGCTATGAGCTCAACCTCAGCTGATTTTGCACCATAAAGGGACACTTGGCAATGTCTGGAGACTGGGTGTCTTTAATTGTGAGGAATGACAGTGGCATTTAGTGCATTCAGGCCAGGGATGCAGTTAATTACCATATAACATCCAAACTCGCAACAAAAAAGTATCCAGCCCAACATGTCAGAACTGCCAGGGTTGATAAACCTTGATTAAAGACACTATAAATTAGAAGTTCTTAGCACACAACTCACTCGACTCAAATTAGGTAATTGCAAAAAGTCATTAAGAGTGTTGTGCAAAAAAAAAAAGATAATAAAAAAAAGAGTGTTGTGCAGATTTACTCATCCATTCAACATATATTTACTGAAAGCTACTTTGCAACTACGTGGCTCTGCCTCCCTAAAAACCTTGGAAATAATGAGAATATTGTGCCAGATTTTATATGAGAAGAGAAAAAAGCATCAATTAAGGTAAGGCCCAAATAACTGTCTGGATATAAAGGCTAAAATGTGGGCTATGTGGTGATTGGGAGGGCGGGTTGTTGGGAAGATGATCTCGGATATGTATGTTAGAATGCACTCTAAATTCTCATACACACTAATAACAAATATGAATACCAGAGATACACTAAACCGGAGATGAAAAAGAGAAGTCTATTAAATAGACACAGCTTTGCAAGGGAAAGCAGACATCAGCAAAGATTGTTATTGTTGTTGTATACTGTCTAGTCAGAAACAACTCAGAGCTGACCTTCCAATGAGTTTTCAGAGGCAGTAAATTGGGTGGGAGGAGACTGCTCAACAAAGTAGTTCTTGTTGATGTTGCTAAATGCCATAGAGTTGAGTTCTACTCATAGCAACCCTTGGAAGGGTCTTCCTCTCTTTTGTTGACCCTCCACCTTCTGAAGCATGTCCCTCTCCAAGCAAGAAGATACCAGAGAGCTCTGGTGTCTTACTGTAAAGGCATGGCTCTGCCAACCTAAAGGTCTACAGTTCAAATACCAGCTGCTCCGTGGAGAAAGATGATCAATCAACTCCTGTGAAAGTTACTGCCTGTGAAAACCTGCTGAAGAGTCAGCTGTTGGTCAGTTCTGACTCAATGGTATACAAGACACCAGAGCTCCCTTCTCTGATATTTAGAAGGGAGTAATAGTGGCTGGATTTCAGGAATACATTTATAGGGATAATAAAGTGTATTTCAGGTAAGGCACATAGCACTGTCTCACTTAATCTCTGCTAGAGACAATTCTTGATATTAGACTATATTTGCATGGCTCTAATATTTTAATTGTGTATGATCTTTTTTTCCCCTTCCAATTGATCATTAATCAACATTCCTTTACCTTGCACTTTTTACAGCAAAGGCCATCACTGCATTGTGAGTCCTGGGTCAAGGTGCATTTCTTACAGCACTCCGCTCCTTCCAGGGCACATTCCTGAGGAACAGAAACATTCTTAAGATCTCAAAAAACAACAGCACTTCCTAAAATTTACTGGAGTATCTTCTACAGTAATTGTGGTTGGCTGCAACTCGACAGCACACAGCATTCTCACCCATGTAAGTGCAGGGAGGTCTGCTCATACTGTATGTGGGGAGGTGCATACCAACATAAGTGCAGGGACATCTGCTAGTACAGCAGGTGGGGAGCTGCGTTGCTAACCCACAGGTGTGCCTCTCTACCAATCTGAATCCGCAAGAGGCTCTGAAGGGGAAAGATTTATCATTTCTCCATGTGATTTATAGACTTAGAAACTCTCGGGAAGGTCCGTTATGAATTGGTTTAGATTTGACAGCAATGAGTAAGATGAGTACCTCGCAATTACAGTTTCTGCTCTGCAAATTCTCTGACATTCCCAGGCTACTTGAGTGCATCCCAATGTTCAGAGCTCGGATAACCCCGTTTTAACATGGAAAAACATCCTCACAACCACCAAACTTACTGTAGGAGTCCCACAGTCACACTCCTCTCCAGTTTCAACGAAACCATTGCCACACTCCGGAGGGTCAAGAAGCTGTGGGATGAAAACCAGAAAGGGAACAGACACAGAGAAATCAAGGCTTTCATTCCAAATCAAAGATCCAATTCAAAGGATCTAAAATTGCCAGTTATATATACACATAATTGTAATTACATTCCAAAATAGATTTTTATTGACCTTCTCTAAGAAGGGTGACTTTACAACTGGGAGTTTTAGGACAGAAGTATTTCCTTTTGTATCTCTTTCTGATTTAATCACATGTACATATATAATATATATACCAATTGTTGCTGTGTACCTTCGAGACTTGGGAGTTCTTGTGACCTAGCAGTAAGAAGTTGCACTGCACGCCCAAAGGCTTGCTGTTTGAACACACCAGCTCTTCAGGAGAAGGATGGGAAATCTCCACTCTTGCAAATTAACTGCCTCTGAAAACCTGCCGGAAGGGTTTCCACTTGATACACAATAACAGCACCACCACTGAGTCAGAACTGACTGATAGCTAACCGTCTAATGGGTTTTCCGAGGTGGTAGACTGCATAGGAAAAGACCACTCACCTTTTTTTCTGGCAGTGGGTGGTGGGTTCGAACCGTGTACATTTGCACTGACAGTATAATTCCTTACCACTAACAAACTAGTATCTAGTAAATACTACTAAAAGAAAAGATAATCTAATCACTGAATAAAACCATATCAGGTTAATTCCTAAAATATCATTTTTTTACTGAAAGTGAGATTATAGACAAAATGTCTAGATACAAATTCTGATTCAATTTCTTATCTTTAGCAAACTGCTTACTCTCTCAGATTCTCATTATTTAATATCTGAACAGGGCTAGTTCATTTATATCACAGAACTGTGACAAGGATCACTTTCCTTGTTTCTTTTTTTAAAACAAAATTATTTTAAAAATAATGAGGAAAGTGTCACAAATCATAATAAATATATTGATTTATTTTTAATGTTCCTCCTGTGTGAAATATAGCTCCTACTACTAATGTATCTTTGCAAAGAATAGAATTATTTGTCCAAAAATTAATTTTTATCTTGTATGAGAATACACTTTAAGACTGTTCCTCTTCATTTTTAGCCATGCATTAGTTTTATTAGCTTTAGAGAAGAATTCATCCTATAGTGACAGGTAAAATTTATAAATAATTGTTTTCATGCGTCTGATACAATGATCAATTCCCTTTTATAAAAAATTCAACAATTAAAAAAATCTATTTGACTCCAATCTCCTTTCCCATGAAAGCAACCGATTATTGTATTTGATTTCCAATTGAAAACAATAATCATAAATGAGGTAACTCTGAAAGTCAAACTGAAATATATGAAAATGTGGTTATTCTCTTAGGTTGGGTTCAAAATCTCTATTTTTGGAAAAAAAAAATTTCTTCCAGCAATAGTAATTTCATTTAAACAACTCTTAAGGAAGGGTGATTATTTTTCAATGCAATAGGATACATTTCTTAAATATCACCACAGTGAGTTGAGAGTGAAATCAGGTAACTGATGACAGTGTCGTAAAGTTGTGGTGTACAGAATCATGTTCACATGATTAACAAACAAAAGGCATTTTTATATGCATGCAAAGCATTGAGAACATTTGAGGAAGATCTCCCTTACAATCAGTAACCAAGACTGATGTGCAAGTTGTAAAAGACCAAGAGTCTTAGGAAAGATTTTTTTTCCGCTTTGCTGCTTTAAGATTTGGTTTTCATACTGAAAAGTACTTGTAATGCAAATCATGACTAACATCAGTAACTAAGCATTCAGAATGCTTCATGAGTTGTGGTTGAGAATCCAAAGGGTTTAAAAACAAAAAAAAAGACAGACAACAACAAAAAAAAAACTCCACCAAACCTTAAGGAAATAGAAAAGAAAGGCAAAATTAAAACATCTTCGTAAGCTAACCATGAATCATCCATGTAAAAATAAAACTAAATATTTCCAGAAAGCACCTGCTTTTATTTTTCCTGGCTTTCTATTTTTATCAATAAGAGTTCAAAATATTCAACTCTGAAATGGAGATATTTAGTATATCTAAAAATGTTACCTATAGCCCAAATTCAATAGCTTTCTTTTCTAAGACTCGATAGCCAGTGGTTGAGGTTTTATACTTAAAATTCTAAAGAAAGATCCATTGTGAATAACACCAGTCAGACATTAATTACCTTAGAAGGTTTGTTGAAAAGGCAAGCGCCACCTCCACTATTTAAGAAGTCATGGTACTCTTCAACATTACACTGGGTGAACTTCTTAGGAAGATAATAGCTGTTAAGAGAGAAGAAAATCAATATTAAACTATACTCTTAAATTCTTTTACTTAGATATTAATCTAAAAACTGTACATTGTTATAACCATACATTAGTCTAAAATTAAAGAATAAATTCCACTTAAATTGCCTGAATGACAGCAGGCTTGGGGTTTATGGAGGGGAGAATGTTACAAGTCTTTCATTACATTTGCATGTGTTTTATTCAATCTGTTTATTTAGCAATTCTTCATTTAATGACTGATAGTGACTCTCGGTTGTTCGTTATTTACATATACATTCAAAAGACACACACACATAGAGTTTCCACACTTTAAAAAAAGAATTGTAATTCATTTATTAATGAGTCTTCCTAAATATTAAAACTGGACTGGAACTCAAATTGCAAAGCATTCTATAAAACAGCTGACCTATAAGCTAAAAATGTGTCAAAGACATAAAAGTCAAAGACTGAATCACTGTTCCAGATGGAAGGAAGCCAAAGAAACATAAACACAAAATGTAACACCTTGGTCTGAACCTTTTGCTGTAAATAACAATAATACTGACAAAAATCTTGAATGTGGTCTAAGAATTATATTATCTTGTTGCGGCCTGTACTGTGGTTACATAGGAAAATGCCCTTATTTATAGAAAATACGCACTAAGATGTTTGAGTTTGATGTATCATCAAGTTAGCAAACTACCCTCAATTTAGGGAACTAAATGTTCATTGTACTATTATTATATTGTTTCTTCTAGTTTGAGGTAGCTTTAAAATTTTACATATTGAAAAAAAATTTTACATATTGAGAGAGAGAGAGAGAGAGTGTGTGTGTGTGTGTGTGTGTGTGTGTGTGTGTGTGTGTGTTTTCCGGTGACCTAGTAGGTAAAAAGTTGAATTCACCAGCTGCTCCATGGGACAAAGATGGGAAATCTCCTCCCTTGAGAATTACAGCCTCTGAAAACCTGCTAGAGGGTCATTTATTAATTGGTTTAAACTCAGTGGCTCACAACAACAACACATACACATTAACATACAATTACATACACATCAATCTCAAAAAAAACTAGAAGCGCCAATAATTAACTTGCCTGGGTATAATGCAGCATTAAGCAACTTTCCAAATGAATTGTCTTTAATTCTAATAAATTTTGCTTTTCAAAGTTTTTCTTGAAATTATCAGCTCTATGAGTAGCAAACTATATGGCTAAAGTTATTTATGGCAGCATAATTTATAATAGCAAAAAGCTCATTTAAATAAACAAAATATTCACTATAAAAATTATTAATTAAATTTTAACATATTAATTAAAACAAGTTGTTGTTATGTGCTATGTAGTCAGAACCGACGCATGGCTGACCCTCCAGGAGGTCTTCAGAGATGGTAAATTGCACAGGAGGAGACTGTTCACCTTTCTCCCGTGGAGCAGCTGTTGGATTCAAACTGTATGCCTTTGGGATTGCAACACAGCTTCTTACCACTAGGTCACCAGCACTCTATTAAATACATGTATTTATCATCTGAGATACCAACAGAAGAAACAAATGTGTCTTGGATTAAGCACAATCAGAGTGCTTCTTAAGCAAAGATGTGGAGACTCCATCTCCTGTACTTTGAGCATGTTATCAGGAGGAAACGAGTCCATGGAGAAGGACATCATGCTTAGAAAACAGAGACTCACTGAAGGAGAAGAAGACCCTCAGTGAGATAAATTTATACAGTGGCTGCAGCAACAGGATTAAAGACAGCAGAGATTGTGTGGCTGTTCCCGCACATACTAAGCAGGTTTGTTTCTGTTGTCACAGGTCACTGGGCATTGGACATAAAGTGAAGGCCCCAAACAATAGCATTAACAGCTAGAGTCTAGAGAAAATTTAAGGACTCATAAAAGTGTGGACTATACACTGGTAAGCCAAAATAGATAAATCATTACCTCTCCCACATCACTCAAATTTTGTAAAACAACAATAAAAATGGATTGGAGAGAAAACAAGTAGATTTATATACAGCATAGACCCCACTCCCCAATCCAGTTTCCAAGGCTATAAACCCTTCTACAAGAAGATTGCTCATTCTTCTCTCACAGAAGGGCTTGTGGATTTGAATTGCTGACCTCACGTGTAACATTATGCCACTCGGTTAATACTGAACCTTTGAACTAAGGCCAAATTGAGCCTCCTGCATACTGAATAGGTGCAAACTCAGTCTGTTTTCCAATATATAGCAGGCATAGTAAATTTACTCCCTCACAGGGAAGCACCGTTCACATCTGAACAGCTGACAATAGTGGATGGCTCTTCCCTTAAAATGCCTTACCTACAACTTCAGTTTACAGTTCTGAGTTCTAGCAATAAGACTAATATGTCACCACAACATAGTCCTTCAAATACATGAAGGCAGATACAATGTCTTTCCACAGACTCTGTCACTACTTTTTATTTTATTTTTATTTTTTTGGTGGGGGGAGAGGGTATCAAACCTATTTTATTCATTGTAATCTTAAACTTTTAATTTCCCTACTTTTCAATGTTTGCTTCCAGTTTAGCAATACAAAGGAACTTCAGAACACACATACAGGTGTGGACTTACCATGGGTCTTACATTTCCATAATTAGCGCTGTTAGGTGATACTTGGCAGAGATATAATTACAGGATCATAACAACAATTTGTAAAGGGCTTTTGTCTATTTAATGTAAGAGGACTCTGAAGCAAGTCAGATGCAAATTGTGGCGAGGTATTTGATTATTGTTTCTCATTATGTTCTTGCTCTGGCTGAGAACACTCAGATATAATAAATAGTTTTTAAACAATAAGAGCCTCTAGCATGGAGAAATTGCTGGAAAGGTGTAACTATAGAAGATGATTCTTTTTTATTATTATTAAACTGAAGCCCAAAGATACCTTAATATCTTCTATTTTCCTTTTAATACGGATCACACAAATTGCAAATTCGAATGTAATCACCAATTATTTTTTGAAAATCAAGTCTGTACAAAAGATTATAGTGTGATGTCTGATAGAGACACATATTATATAGAAGATAATCTCTCAAAAATTTGAAATTACTTGGTAAACAAAAGCATAAATACATATAGAATTAAATGATAAAAAAACCTCAAATGGTTAGGAATGTAGTTAGGTAGAAAGAAAGAGGAACAGCATTCAGATGATGAGAATATTGTGGCCTAGTAGGTAGAGAGTTGTGCTGCCAAGTCAAAGACACATGGATTGACTCCATTAGCTGCTCAACAAAAGAAAGACAGGTAATCTCCTGTGCAACTGACAGCCACTGAAAACCTGCTGGAGGGTCAGCTGTGAGTCAGTTCTGACTTAACAACACATAGCCACAAGAGCAATCAAAAGAGCTCATGTACAATTACAGTGAGCAAGTCAAATAACGAATATCAGTGGAAAATGAGATTCCAAATGAGACTAAAGGAAGCTTACAGATACCTAAACACTTCCTGTACCAGTCAGATCCGATTTGACGGTACACACACAAACACACATAGATATCTAAAGAAATCTGACCCTTATTCTTTAGGCAAAGGACATTTTAAAAGTTCTAAGCAGTAAAGGATGGACTGTCAAGTGTCTAAATAATAAACTCAATGAATAAAGTGTGCTTTATACATCCAATTCACTAAGCTATATAGCTCCCACAAGCATAATGCTGATTAAAATCATCAAGTCAAAGAAGAATTATAGAAAGGATGGCACCACTCATAAAAACTTGAAAACACACAAAATGTTTTGCCTTACTTGGTATACACACACACACACACACATACACACATTAAAAATAAAAACACACATACATATATACATTAAAAGTATAAAGAAGGACATGTAAATGAGATTATACTCACATACACTATATAACATACATGTCATATATACTGGTTGCCTAGTGGCAAGAAGCTGTGCTGCAATCCTGAAGGCACATAATTTGAATTCACGAACTGCTCTGCAGGAAAAGGATGGACAATCTCCTCCCGTGAGATTAACTGCCTCTGAAAACCCACTGGAGGGTCAGCTATGGGTCAGTTCCAACTCAATCATACATAACAACATCGTATGTATCATAAACATTATATATACATATATACACACACACACATATATATATTACATGTATACATGTATACATGTATACACACATACATGCATTAAAAGTATAAAGAAGGACACGTAAATGAGATTAACTACACTTAAGGTAGTGTTGTCATGATAGTGCCTGAAGACAAACAAGAAAGAAAAAATTTTTAATTGAATGATAGCTTTGCAAGTATTCACTGTTTCATTCTTAATATCTTTTAAATTATGATAAAAGTGGAGTTGAGGCGAGAGCCTAAGAATTTGAATGTTATTCTAATAATAAAGGCACAAGATAATAAAAGTTTAAAATAGGGAGATAGTGGTAACCTTGGAATGAAAGGGATGACAGTTATAAAATTTATTTAGAAAGAAAACAGACTAGATCACCAGAAAGGATATGAAGGGTCAAGAATCAAACCCACTGTCATGAAGTCAATTGCAACTTACAGTGACCCTGAAGGACAGAGTACAACCTCCCCTGCAGGGTTTAACGTCCAACCTTTTGGTGATGGTTGTTGTTGTTGTTATATGCTGTCAAGTCGCCTGTGACTCATAGTGACCCAATGTATAACAGCTCTGAACCCTGCTCTATCTTGAGCCAAAGGGTCTTCCTTTCTTGCACTGTCCCTCAACCCTTCCAAGCATGATGTCACTCCAAGGATGGGTCCAAAGACCCTCAATGAGATGAACTGACTCAATAACTGGGGTAATGGGCTAGGTGTGTCAGAGACAATAAGGTCGGCACAGAATAGAGCAGGGTTCAGAGCTGTTGTACAGGGGTTGCTATGAGTTATAGGCAAGTCAACAGCACATAACAACAATGCATGGGAATGACTATATGAAACACAGTATGAATGAAGAATAGAGTGAAATACAATGCATATGAATTTTGTAATCAAACCAATGTAAAATTTAAAAATATAAAAACGTATAAAAAGAACAAATTCTTCCTAATTTTTTACATTTCTTACCTAAGTTCCAGTCTTAAAAAGGTTTTGATATCTAACACTCTCCTCATTTATCAACTTCATTAGATTCCAAATACCTGGTCTTTATGTGAAACAAATGCCTTGTGGGGGGAAAAAAGGACTTTTTTCTGTTTCAGACCAATCATCTGTCCAATTTTTAGACCATAAGATCACAGAAATAATAATATCTAAGATGCACAGGTGTGCTTATCACTGTGGTAAATCCAGTAAAGGATTATTACTCCATAGAGACACATCTGGAAGAGGCAAAACTGGATAAAATGGGGCTGTGTGACTGGACCCACAGCTTACTGATTTCACCTTCCTCCTGTGCTGGGTCAGTGCATCCCTTGCTGGGCCATTTCTACCATTTCTAGGACTCCACTCCTACATTACAAGAAGCCCTGTGTCAGGATCCAGGAGCCTCACCAAATCACAGGCTTCAGGCCCAGTTCAGCTCCCTGGGGATGCCATTAAACTTGCACACACTTCTTTTAAACACTCGCTCCAATATCTCTTTGTCTCCACCTTTCCCATCCTTCACTAATTTTATGCTGCAAGGTTTCAGAATACATACAAACTGAGAACCTAAAACAGATGTCCCCTTGGCCCACGGGTTTAATGTTGTCATAGGTGGGCACAGAACCTCTTCCATGGGGAATGGCACAAGTCTGTGCAGACTACCTCTCCAAGGGCCACCTCGGGAGCCTCCTTGAGGGAGAGGATGACTCCACAGTTATTGCTGCTTGCCTGCCACCTCCTTAATGATCAAAAAGCCAGAGAGCAGATTATTATTATCAGAAATGTGAAATGAGCGATAGCAAGACAGTCAATAAATTCACTTGCTTAACATTATTTTGAAGACTGCAGTCCTTGACCCTCTGCAGCAAGCACTTCAGGACCTCCTCAGTTTCAGCAAGCAGGATTGTGTCATCTTCATAACACAGATTGTTGATGACTCTTCCACCAATCCTAATGCCACATTCCTCCTCGTACAGCCCAGCGTCTTGGATGATCTGTTCTGCATACAGATTGAAAAGGTATGGAGACAAAATACATCCCTGACGGACCCTCTTTCTGATGTTCTGGGATTCCCATTCTTCTCAGAGTCAGCCATAGTTTGTTGGGATACACACAGTCAAAAGCCTTTGTATAGTCAGTGAAGCACAGATAGACACTCTTCTGGTATTCTCTGCTTTCTGCCAAGATCCATCTAACATTAGCTATAATATCCCTAGCACCATGGCCTCTTCTAAATCCAGCCTGCACATCCGGCAGTTCTCTGCTGACATATTGTTCCAAACGTTTTTGGATAATTTTCAGCAGAATCTTGCTTTCATGTGCTATCAATGATATTGTTCAATAATTTCCACACTCTGTTGGATCACCTTTCTTTGGAATGGGAAGTGATATCGATCTCTTCCAGTCAGTTGGCCAGCTGGCTATCCTCCAGATTTCCTGGCATAACTTAGTGAGCACATCCAGGGCAGTGTCTGTTTGTTGAATAAGTCAACTGGTATGCTGTCAACTCCTAGAGCCTTGCTTTTAGCCAATTCCTTTGGAGCAACTTGAACTACTTCATCACCATAGGTTCTTTCTCATATGTTATTTCATTAAATTCCTCTGTGTCAGCCAATTCCTTCTGATACAGTGACTCTGTGTACTCCTTCCATCTTCTCTTGATACTTTCTGGATCATTTAACATTCTACCCAAACTATCCTTAAGTATTGTCACCCATGGCTTGAATTTGTTTTTGCATTCCTTCAGCTTAAGAAATGCTAAGCAAGGTCGGCCCTTTTGATTTTCTGACTCCAGCTCTCTGCACATTTCATTATAGTATCTTGCTTTGTCGTCCCGAGCTGCTTTTTGAAATTTCTATTCAGCTCTTTGATTTCTTGATTTCTTCCTTTAGATTTGGCATCTCGGCGCTCTAATGCAATACTCAGAGTCTCATCTTACATCCATCTTGGTCTTTTCTTCTTCTTCAGCCTTTGTAATGATCTTTTGCATTCTTCATGGACAATTTTCTTGCTATCCTCCCAGAGCTCATTTGGTCTATGCTCACTGGTGCTCAAAACCTCAAACCTGTTCCTGAGATGGTTTTGAAATTTGAGTGGGACAGACTTAAGGTCAAATCTTGGTCCCCGTGGACTTGATTTAGTTTTCCTCAACTTCTGCTTGAACTTTCATATGAGTAGTGGGTGGTCTATCCCACAATCAGAACCCGGCCTGGTTTTCACTGCTGATATTGAGCTTTTCCACCGAGTCTTTCCACAAATGCATTTGATTTGATTCCTATGCATACCATCAGGTGAGATCCATGTGTATAGCCTGTGTTTATGTTTCTTTATAAAAGGTATTTGCAATGAATAAATCATTGAATGTGCAGAACTCTATCATTCTATCTTCAGCCTCATTTCTCTCACCAAGCCCATGGTTTCCAACTACTGATCCTTCTTTCCTGTTCCCAACTTTTGCGTTCCAGTTGCCCATTATTATCAACGCATCTTGATTGCATGTTTGATCAGTTTCTGACTGCAGAAGTTGATAGAAATCTTCTATTTCCTCCTCTTTGGCTCTGCAGAAGGTCAAGGACTGCAGTCTTCAATATAGATTGAAGCTCAGCATCAAGAAAACAAAGATTCTCACCTCTGGGCCAATTAACAGCATCAGTATGGATGGTGAAGAGATTGAGATATTTAACAGTTTTAGTTTACTTGGTTCCACAGTCAATACTCTTGGTAACAGCAGCCAGGAAACCAAGAGACAAACTGCATTGGGAAAGTCAGCTGTGAGGGACCTCTCAAGAGTACTGGAGTGCAACGACATCAGGCTGGAGACTAAGGTGTGCCTGATCCAGGCTATGGTCTTTGCAATTACATGCTATACATTGGAGAGTTGGACAATGAATAGGGATGATAGAAAGAGAATTGATGCCTTTGAGCTGTGGTGGTAGAGAAGAGTGTTGAATATACCATGGACTGCTAGGAGAACAAACAGGTTTGTCCTGGAGAGGGTGAAGCCGGGCTGCTCCTTGGAGTCAAGGATTCTGAAACTTCATCTGACATACTTTGGGCATGTTGCAAGGAGGGACCAATCCTTGGAGAGGGACATCATGCTTGGGAGAGTGGAAGGATGGCGCAGGAGAGGAAGAT